GTGGCACCCTGATCTTTAGGAACCAAATGAGTGATCCCAGTAGTGAAGAGGCTTGGGAGCAACTTCTGGTTGAGAGCCTCTTGAAACTGCCGGGTAATACATAAAGCTATTAAAAATGAATTTCTAACAAATTTATTAAGTGTAAATAATGAAGCATTAAAGGCTATTTTTATTCTTTTATTTTATTTATTGAGGAGTAGAAAACGGACACACGGGCCCTGACCAAGTGTGCACGCAGGAAAAAAGAAAGACTTACAATGATGAAGATGATGGGTTAAGAAATTTACGTGTAAGACGACAGGTGTTAAGTAAGACTGCTTTTTGTATAAGTGTAAGAGTGGATTTAGGCATTTGAAGCATCTTGAGGCTGGTTTGAAGGGTCTTTGGAACTACACCAGTTGTAAATATGATGATAGGAATTATTTTTACGGAGTCTACTTGCCATTGTCTTTTTATTTCGATAGCCAGGTATACATACTTTGTCATTTTTTCCGAATGTGTAGTAATGAGGTTGTGTATGTTGCAAACTGCTTTGTCTATTATAGATTTACATGCACCTGTGATATGTTGAATTGTTTCTGAGCTACTGTGACATCGTCTACATAAGTCAGTTGGAGGGTTGGGAATACGAATGTGTTTTTGATAGTAACGAATGTATATTACTTGTTCTAAATATATAATCTTGAATAGCAATTACAAAAGCCTCCGTCTCTGGGAAGAGCTCTCCGCGTCGCAGCCACTCGTTCGACGCTTGCCTGTCGACATGTGCTTGACCTAGATCGGCAAGGTGCCTACCATGCAGAGACTTTTGTGACCACAAATCTATTTTATTAGTAGCCGTCTTTATTTTGTTGCTCAAATACAAAGACTTGGCTATGAAGCACACTCTTTTAAATATTTTTGAATATTTTTATATTTTATATATATATATATATTTTTTTTTTATATATATTTCCAATATATATATTATATATTATTCCCTAAATTTATGACATTTTATTGTAAAGTTCATATAATCTTTGTCTACTCTTATGGAGTCCTACTGTCACCCATTAACTAAATGCCTTGCGATTGTTCAAGGAGAATATTTTAGAAGTAAAAGTGTTACCAAATTCATTGCAAATAAGCTTAAATAATGTTCCGTACAAAAAATGTGGATTATTTTGGTATGAAAGTGATGGAATTTTTTTCACTACGTTAATTCTAAGTTTCTCCAAGCGACGCGCATTTACTGGAACATACATAACTTTTTTATCTACTTGCTTTTAGTGAACTGGAGGTAACGAAACTAATTGTTCATAGTGATCAGAGCTCAGTTTTTGAAATATATATATATATATATTTATTGAACGGCTTAACATTTGTAAAAATGTTATGTATACATATTGCACTAGATTGAGCAATGCGAACTATTAAAAAAATTAAAGAGACCATAAGATTTAAACAATGATCTAAACTTAATATTTGTAAAGGAAGCTTCTAGAAGATTGATATTAAAGTCTCCAAACAAGAATCAAAATGCACATGCGTTGTCAACTCTGTCGTGTAGTGGCGGTTGAGAATATCCACTACCCCATATATTCCCGTGGGTGTCGTAAGAGGCGACAGAGGGAGACAGGCAGGAGATGGGCAGCAGCATCTTCCTGATAACAACTGTGATATAATAAAAAACTGCGGTTGCCAACCCGCTCGACAAGCGTGGCAACTATGGCAAATATCCCCCCATGAATAACGACGCAAACAGACGGCCCCCAGTCCCCGGCGGCCCCGCTATTCCTGGCTACGGTGGTGACCATGGTAACGGCGGGGCAGGGGGTGCTAAGAATCTCCGGTGGAAGTTCGGTTGCCACCTACGACGACTCGACCTGGCAACATATAACGCACGCACCCTGAGGACTGACGAGAAGATACTGGAGCTGGAAGAAGAGATAGACAAGTTGCGCTGGCATATTATTGGATTATCCGAGGTCCGAAAAGAGGAGGAGGACACGGCAATCCTCGAGTCCGGCAACTTGTTCTATCACCAGGAGGGCGACCATCTGTCCCAAGGAGGTGTCGGATTTACCGTCCACAAGTCTCTCGTCAACAACGTTGTAAAGATTGGGAGTGTGTCGACGAGGGTCGCGTACCTGATACTCAGAATTACCAAACGGTATTCGCTGAAGGTCATACAGGTTTACGCACCAACCTCGGCACATTCCGATGAGGAGGTGGAGGAAATGTATGAGGATATTTCCAGAGCCATGCATTCCTCCAAAACCCACTGCACGGTGTTGATGGGAGACTTCAACGCAAAACTAAGCACAAGAGAAAAGCGGTGAGCTGAAGGTAGGGAAATTCGGAGTAGGGCAAGGGAACCGAAGGAGCCAGCAGCTGGCCGACTTTATGGAGAAAGAGGGACTCTTTATGATGACCTCTTTCTTCCAGAAGCGGCCCCACAGGAAGTGGACCTAGTCGAGACCCGACGGTTCGACAAAAAATGAGATTGATTTCATTATGACGACCAGACGCCAACTGTTCAGTGATGTCTCAGTGATCGCAAGGATAAAAACCGGCAGCGATCACCGAATAGTAAGAGGTACACTGAACCTAAACGTTAAGTTGGAGAGGTGTCGTCTAATGAAGTCAACGCTCCGTCCAGCTCGAGTCACGTAACCTCTTTCAGAGCCTAGAAGATTGCAATGCAGTGGACGATATCAATGACAAGCTCGTGGAAACTGTCCATGCGGTCGGAGCTAAGTTCTGCAAGACCCGCCGCAGAAGAACACAAAAACACTCTGATCACACTCTTATCTCATCTTAGACGGGAGATGAGGCTGCAATCGTCAACAGATTTGACAGCATACAGGCAACTAAACAGACAGATGCATGCGGCGAGACTTACGCAACTTTAATACTGCTCGTATTAAAGAAGCGATCGAGCGGAACCAGGGCTCCAAAGTCTTTGCCAGAGATCTGTCCGCCAGTAAGAGCCAACTGTCAAAGCTGAAGACTGAGTGTGGCAACATCGTTTCCGGGACACCTGAGATTCTGAGTGAGATTGAGAGGTTCAATGGGCAGCTGTACACATCATCGTTGGAGCCACACGCAATTGTGAGTAACGATCCAAGAGCAAGTCTTATGCAACTCTATTCCGATGATACCCCGGACGTCAGTCTGAGCGAGATTAGAATGGCTCTCCACCACCTTAAAAACGGCAAGGCCCCGGGCGAGGATGGAATTACAGCGGAGCTTCTGAAAGCGGGTGGAACACCGGTAACTTGAAGTCCTTCAGAAGCTCTTCAATTCCGTCCTCCATGGTGGCACTACTCCGGAGGCGTGGAGCAGAAGCGCGGTGGTCTTGTTCTTTAAGAAAGGCGACAACGCTCTCTTGAAAAACTACAGATCGATTTCCCTTCTGAGCCGCGTCTACTTGCTATTTTCGAGAGTCGTTACGAATCGTCTCGCACGCAGACTCGACGACTTCCAGCCTCCTGAACAAGCCGGTTTCCGAAAAGGCTTCAGTACCATAGACCACATACATACCCTGCGGCAGATTTTACAGAAGACCGAAGAGTACAATCTGCCACTTTGCCTGGCATATGTGGACTATGAGAAAGCCTTTGATTCCGTCGAAATTTGGGCGGTGCTACAGTCCCTTCAGCGGTGCCAAGTTGACTGTCGGTATATCGAAGTGCTGAAGTGTTTGTACAGTAGGGCTACGATGACTATCCGAGTAAGAACCAGAGCTCGAAACCTATCCAACTGCAGAGAGGTGTAAGACAGGGTGACGTTATATCTCCGAAACTCTTCACCGCTGCATCGGAAGACGTTTTCAAGCTACTGGACTGGAAAGGATACGGTATTAACATTAATGGCGAGTACATCACTCACCTTCGATTTGCCGACGATATAGTCCTTATGGCAGAATCGCTGGAGGACTTAAGCACTATGCTCAGTGACCTCAATAGTGCCTCCCAACGGATAGGTCTTAAGATAAACATGGACAAAACAAAGATCACGTTTAATGTCCATGTCACACCTATGCCGTTAGTAGTTGGGAGCACTATGCTCGAAGTTATTGACGAGTACGTTTACCTGGGACAAATAGTCCGACTAGGTAAGTTCAACTTCGACCGAGAGGTCAATCGACGGATTCAACTCGGCTGGGCAGCGTTCGGGAAATTACGACACATCTTCTCGTCAGGTATACCTCAATCTCTGAAAACTAAAGTGTATAACCAGTGCGTGTTGCCAGTGATGACTTACGGATCTGAGACGTGGTCCTTCACTGCTGGCCGTATGAGGACGCTCAAGGTCGCTCAGCGAGCTATGGAGAGGGCTATGCTCGGAGTTTCTCTGCGTGATAGACTCAGAAATGAGGATATCCGCAGTAAAACCAGAGTGACCGATATAGCCCCACGGATTAGTAAGCTGAAGTGGCAGTGGGCCGGCCATATAGCTCGAAGAACCGATAACCGATGGGGAAGAAAGGTTCTCGAGTCGTCACTCCATCTAGTAGTTTCCCCACTAGATGGAGTGACTACCTGGTAAGACATGCAGGAAGTCGATGGATGCAGGTGGCTCAGGACCGTGCTTTGTGGCGTTACTTGGGGGAGGCCTATGTTCAGCAGTGTACTTGTGAAGGGCTGTAATGATGATGATGATGTCAACTCTGAGAACATAATTTACAAAACACGACATTATTCTGCTGTTTAACGCTAGTAATGTGTAAGAGCGTCCTACCCCGGTGCATCCGACTCATTCTTGGAGTCATGATATGCGTATCTCTACCACGTATAAATAAAAAATTCAAAATTCAATGTTCTTCTTCGGTTTGTTTTCGATTCGTTGGCGCCTTCCAGTCGAGGGCTGCTTGCTAATACATTTTGGGTACTAGTCCCACTTGGTTTACGATTTTTCAACTCGATTTGGAATTTTCCCAAGTCTACCCGTGTCAACTTATATCCTTGGATTTGAAAAGGCTATAGGTGACGAATTTATTAAGTGGTCAGAGGTACCTTTAATGAAGTCGATTTCTTCTTGAGTGAACGCAGGCAGCCTCGAGCGTGGGTACCCTTGACTCTTACTCTTCTCTGCTATTATCTTTTCTATTACTGATGGCCATCCACCGTCTTTTGTATATATGGGATGGGAATACAATCCAGCCTGTAACAATTTGTATTTAATCTGTTTCATATAGAAGACCAAATACAATTTAAGAGTACGATGTACCATATTCAGCCACAGCTGAATGAACAACTGGATACATTGGTTTATGCATCACTTTAACACAACTCAGTGAGAGTGTAATAGAATTTACTATAGTACATGCTAAATCTATTGAGAAAAACGGACTGGTTGCGCGGAAAACCATTCGCGTTTTTATTTTTGACGGTAGGAACTTGCCGAATCATTATTCCCTTTCCCAAACGATATCATTCGTACCCTCCTATCGACACATCGGGGTGATGGGGTGGGAGGGGAAAGAAGACGATTCTAGAACATCGCGTAATCATCGGACCCGAGGATATAAGACACGCGCGACCGACGCGCGCGCTTCTTCCCGCCGCAGCCGTCGTTGAACTACAACCTCCTCTTCCCGCGCGCTCGTTTGGAAACACCTCACTAGTGGAAACCGCTTTGGCCTGAAAGCAGTCGAGCTCCAGGAACCCGCCTCACCTCGTGTGAGATATCGTCGCGCACTGCCTCTCTCCGGAGTGTTCCAAAAGTCGCTATAGTGCTCTAAAGGATAGAAGAACCCCGGTGAGTCAACATTCCTTAATTTACTGCCTGATTAATATTTAATAATTGTTTAACCGTTCCAATTCTGTGTTCTCCCCATCAGGCAGGATTCCTTTCATCGATTTGGCAAGTAATAGTTTAGTTTAGGGAAGAGCGAGTGCATTGTACCGCATGCTATAGTAGTCGCCTTTACGTAAACGTAGAAGCAATCGCAAATACAGTCCACTTTAGTTAATATCTCGCGTAATAGGTTTGAGGTTTGACCGGGGAACTAGATTTTCGGCAGCCTTAAACACGTGGCTCCACCATTTTATGGTCCTTCGAGCAGGATCTGCATTGGTGTTTAGTGGTTATCCAACCATTTTCTGGTCGAATTATTAAATTAATTGTTTAGATAACGCACTGTAATTTATGGAATAGACTTAAATAGTGTTCGTTTAAATTAAAATTTTGATTTGGTACTCGCAAACAGAATTATTCATTTAATAGCGCTCGTATTTGGTTAAATTTAAAGCTTATTAAATAATTGAAACGGTGTGATAGCAACAGTTTGATACGCTTACCCCACAATTTGATAAAATTATTAGGTTTAGCAAACGACGCGTAGACTCGACCGCAACGGGTGTTCGATCTAATTACGTAATACGGCACGCCGAGTGTTCATCCTACGTCGTTTATGCGTGTGAGATTAATTGTGATTAATATAACTTTATATAATAATTTAAAATGGCAGTTAGTGCAAGTGAAATCAAAATTAAAACGCTTTATGCCAAGAGCGACATACTCTTTTCGCGTGTGCAGAATATAAGTGATTATATAAAGAACATTAATATAGAGGCAGTGCGGGAAGCCTTTTTTGAATGAAATCGAAACGATAGATACTTTGCGGATAGATTACGAAAGAATATTAGACCAAATTAATCATTTGGAATTACAAAGCGACCCGAAATACATAGTGAACTACCAACCGCTGCTGGCATTCGAAGATATGTTGTGTCGCGTAAAAAGAACTGCAAAACTCCTACAATCTCAAAGCGAAGCAAAGCCGGAAATACAGGTACGCCCTCGTGACTCAATTAGGTTACCGCCAATAGATATTCCGGTATTCAATGGTGATATTAAGACGTGGCCCTTCTTCTTCAGTAGTTTTCAAAACAATATACACAACAACCCATCGTTATCGGACGCTGAAAAATTATATTACTTAATTAGTAAACTTAGTGGCAGAGCACAGTCGATCTGCTCGGGTTTTACACCTACAGCAAACAATTACGTATTAATATTTGAAACGCTTAAAACTAAATATGAAGATAGGAGAATGTTAGCTTCCGAATATTTGAACCAGATATTCGATCTTAAACCTATATCATCCGCGAACATCAACGGCTTAGAGCAGTTTCTAGATAAATTTATGGCATCGGTGGCTGCACTTAAGAATTTGAAGTTTGATGACCTTATGGACGTGGTGTTTCTCCATATAGCATTAAAGAAATTAGACTCCGACACCGTGCGTGCGTTTGAAATGGAGCATCGTAGCTCGGAGATGCCTTCCTTTCATTCATTAGCATCGTTCGTGCGAGATCAAATAAAGGTGATGCAGCGCTCTCCGAACGTTAAACAGGAGATTAAAAGGTGCGTCGACCGTAGACAGACTCAACCATCTAAAATAGCAGGGTCGTTAACTTACGTAACCGCTACGCCGACATCACTCCAGCATACTTGTATAGTATGTAAAGATAAACACGGTAATTTATATAATTGTGCGACTTTTCGTAAATATTCACCAAGCGAACGTTATAAGTTAGTAAAGACAAACAACCTATGTTTGAACTGCTTAAGCGATAAGCATTTAGTTGCAAAATGCAATTCGAGTTCCGTATGTAGCAAGTGCGCCAGGAAACATCACACGCTATTACATTTTGAAAATAGCAACATAGCGGCGTCAAGTAAGGCGGATAAGGAATTCACCCCTACTAAGGTCAACGATTCTAGCGGTCGACCTGGTGATGTCGCTCTGTGCTCATTGGCAAATATGGGAGCACAACCTCCATCAACCGTGTTACTGGGTACGGCGCGTATTTTGGTTAGGGATTCGCGTGGAAACGAACAAAGCGTCCGTGCACTGCTGGACAGCGGAGCCCAAAATAGCTTTATAACACGACAATGTTGTCAGCGCTTAGGTTTAGTAATAAATAGGTCACTTTCATGTCCTGTAGTTAAAGGCATCGGAGGTACTAGTAAAGCGACACAGGGATATATAAATTTAAAATTTTATTCTCGGATAGATCGTAATGTTAACTTTGATATAAATGCACTAGTAGTAGATAGGGTCACTGAACGGTTGCCAACCGTTTCGGTTGACACCTCGGCAATGATTGCATTTAAAAATTTGACTCTAGCAGACGACACTTACGCCGTTCCTGGAAACATAGACATGCTCATTGGGGCATCGCTTTTCCCTTATCTTTTGTTAAACAATAAGGTCAGGGGCAACTCCTCGCATACCGCGCCTTACGCACTGGAAACCGTATTGGGCTATGTGATCCTTGGCTCCGCCCCCCATCCTAGATAGTATTTCGGCAACCTCTTATTGTGGTATGGCTGTCGAACCGCTCGAGTCGTTAGTCCGCAAATTTTGGGAGATGGAGGAGGTGAACGTCCCACCTATAGCTAGTCCAGATGACAGGTTATGCGAGGAAATTTACGTCCGCACGACCGTTCGTGATCGCGACGGTAGATATAGTGTAGCGCTACCCTTTAAAGGAGATGTTTTATCTCTCGGCGATTCGCGTCAAATGGCGGAAAAGCGTTTCTACAGCTTGGAGCGTAGGATGCTCGCTTCGCCCCAGTTAAAGGAAGCTTACGACGGCGTCATTAACGAATATATAAGAGAAGGTTACATATCGCTTGTGGCTTCAAAATTAGATAACTACGAAGACACACCGTCGTATTTTATACCACACCACGGAGTCATTAGAGAGGACAAACTTACATCTAAATTACGTGTAGTGCTCGACGCTAGTGCTAAAACTAGCACTCACCTGTCGCTTAACGATATCCTCTATAGTGGGCAAAATTTACAGGGCAGTTTATTTAATATAATAGTCAATTTTCGTTTGTTTAGTATAGCACTATCCGCCGATATTCGCCAAATGTTTCTTTGCATAGGGGTCCGTGAATGCGACCGTAGATTCCAACGCATTTTATATCGCTTCAACCCAAAGGAACCTCTAATGGTGTTTGAATTTAACCGCGTTTGTTTTGGTTTAAAGTCGAGCCCATTTCATGCGTTACGCACGGTGAGACAGCTCGCTCACGATGAAGGTCCCTCTTATCCTAAAGCTAAGAGGGCAATTGAGAGCGGATTATATATGGATGATTTTGTGTATTTGGTCGATAGCGTGGAGGAGGCCACCCTAACCACCGCCGAAGTCATAAGGCTCATGAAATCGGGTCAATTCGATCTTGTGAAGTGGACTAGTAATTCGCGTACGGTTTTAGATACAATCCCACTATCACACCGTCTTTCGGCGATAAAGGAATTCGACGATTCCGATACACACAAGGTGCTCGGTCTGTGTTGGTCCCCAGAGTCCGACGTGTTTAGCCTTAAGGTAAATCCGCCCGTAGAGAAATGCACAAAGCGCACAATACTGTCATGCGTTGCTAGATTATGGGACTTCATGGGTTTCGTAGCTCCTGTGGTATTGTACGCTAAGCTTTTGATTAAACAACTTTGGTTATTTGAATGTGATTGGGATGACTCGCCGCCTGACAGCATTGTTCGATTGTGGCAGCGCTTTAGAGAGGAACTTCCTTTACTAAGAGAAATTAAAATACCGCGTCATATAAATGTCGATAGAAATAGCAGCATAACGGTCGTTGGATTTGCAGACGCCAGCGAGAGGGCTTACGGGGGCGTTGTATATTTCCATGTCCAGAATAATGGTAGAAATTCGATTAGCCTCATTAGTTCTAAGTCGAGAGTCTCCCCCGTAAGGTTGTCTCTCTGGCGCGCTTAGAGCTTTGCGCAATATTAGTACTCACCAAGCTTATTACCACAGTTATCGGCGCATGTAGGGATAGAGTTCACATAGAAAGGATATTTGCCTTTTCCGACTCCACCGTCGCCTTATGTTGGGTTCATTCTTCACCCCACTGTTGGGATACGTTTGTCGCGAACCGAGTGGCCAAGATCCAAGACGAGTTAGAAACGCGGAACTTTTATCACGTGTCCGGTAAGGAAAACCCTGCCGATTGTCTATCCCGGGGACTCACCCCGATGCAAATAATGGACCACCCGCTTTGGTTCCATGGACCTTCTTGGGTTCACTTGGATCCCTCACAATGGCCAATAACCGATTTCGAACCTTCGTCAGTGTCACAACCGCCGGAAGAGAGGAGACACGCTCTAGTGGCGAACGTTTCGAGCGAGGTTTCTCCAATCATTGCTCTGGCGAACCGCTTGTCCTCTTGGTCGAAATTATTGCGTAGGGTAATTTACGTTTGTCGATTCGCGAAGCTTTTACCGCGACGTTCGTATATCTTAGCATCCGATTACAACTATGTCGAGTCGCTAGTATTACGTGAACTTCAACGTGCGCACTTCTCCGAAGAAATTACAAGATTACAATCGAATAGAGCTTGTAGTCGCGCCTTTCAACGCCTTAAGCCATTTTTACAGGATGGGATTGTAAGGGTAGGTGGACGCTTGTCCAACTCGCAATTGAGTTTCGACCAACGGCACCCTATAGTTTTACCGCGTAAAGACCATATCATGAACTTATTAGTCGATTATCATCATAAATTGAACTCGCACGCTGGCCCCGATTTATTGATGTCGATCTTGCGTCAGAATTATTGGATTCTTTCTGCACGTAGTTTAATACGCAATCGGGTGCACAGATGTATAGCTTGCTTTCGGGCACGCCCCAAGCCGTCATTTCCGGAAATGGCGGAACTTAGATCTTGCAGAGTGATACAATCAGTAAAGCCCTTCACGAACACCGGGTCTGATTTTGCTGGTCCGTTTAAGGTCACGCTCACTCGCGGGCGTGGTATAAGATCCACAAAGGCTTACGTCTGCATTTTCGTATGTCTAACTACTCGAGCAGTGCATATAGAACTCGTGGGTGATCTAAGCACAGCAGGCTTTATGGGTGCATTTAAAAGATTTCTATCCCGCAGAGGCCCTGTAAGTAAATTATATTCGGATAACGGTACGAACTACGTCGGTGCAAAACGTATTCTATCGGAACTACATGAGCTCTTAGCTAGCAAGTATTATAATTCGGAGTTCGCTCACATTCTAGCCGAGAACCGCATTGAGTGGTCTCTGAACGTCCCAGCCGCGAGTCATTTTGGGGGCAATTGGGAGACTAATATTAAAAGTCTAAAGAGCCACTTATACCGAGTAATAGGAGATCAAATTTTGTCCTTCGAAGAGCTAAGTACGGTGCTCGCTCAAATTGAATGCGTAATGAATAGCCGCCCACTTTGTCGGACGTTATCTAGTGACCCCTCGGAACCGCTGGCTCTAACTCCAGCACATTTTTTGAATTTAACGCCTCTAAGGTATCTGCCCGCCGCGGATATGGATGAGAACAGACAAAGCATTTCCGCACGCCACAAATTATTAGATCGGTTAGTGCAATCGTTTTGGAAACGATGGAGGATGGAATACTTGCATACTTTGCAGTCTCGGCAAAAATGGAACACAGCGACAGAGCTTTTAGCTGTAGGAACGGTAGTTGTGCTCACTAAGGAGAATACGCCGCCTCTCCACTGGCCGTTAGGAATCGTCGAGGAGGTCTTTCCCGGTTCCGACGGAGTAATTAGGATAGCTCGCGTTAAGACCACGGTTGGGTCTTACCTACGTCCTGTTGTCCGTTTGTGCCCCTTGCCTCTTCCATAATTTAAATTAGATTTCTAGATTAAAATTGTAGTTGAATTTAGGTAATCTTAGCGTTAGTTAGTTATTTGTTAGTTGATCTTAGCTCTAGTTGTTTAGTTATTTTTTGAAGGAAATCCTTCAAGGGCGGGGGAGACCATTCGCGTTTTTATTTTTGACGGTAGGAACTTGCCGAATCATTATTCCCTTTCCCAAACGATATCATTCGTACCCTCCTATCGACACATCGGGGTGATGGGGTGGGAGGGGAAAGAAGACGATTCTAGAACATCGCGTAATCATCGGACCCGAGGATATAAGACACGCGCGACCGACGCGCGCGCTTCTTCCCGCCGCAGCCGTCGTTGAACTACAACCTCCTCTTCCCGCGCGCTCGTTTGGAAACACCTCACTAGTGGAAACCGCTTTGGCCTGGAAGCAGTCGAGCTCCAGGAACCCGCCTCACCTCGTGTGAGATATCGTCGCGCACCGCCTCTCTCCGGAGTGTTCCAGAAGTCGCTATAGTGCTCTAAAGGATAGAAGAACCCCGGTGAGTCAACATTCCTTAATTTACTGCCTGATTAATATTTAATAATTGTTTAACCGCTCCAATTCTGTGTTCTCCCCATCAGGCAGGATTCCTTTCATCGATTTGGCAAGTAATAGTTTAGTTTAGGGAAGAGCGAGTGCATTGTACCGCATGCTATAGTAGTCGCCTTTACGTAAACGTAGAAGCAATCGCAAATACAGTCCACTTTAGTTAATATCTCGCGTAATAGGTTTGAGGTTTGACCGGGGAACTAGATTTTCGGCAGCCTTAAACACGTGGCTCCACCACGGACAATGACCTCAGATATGAGCCGAGTGTCAAAAGGCGTAACTTACAAAATCTCGATTTAGATGTGAAAAAATATTTATATTGATATTATTCACACTTCTAGGTCAGCACATATGTTTTGGTTTTTTGTTTCTTAAGTAATATTGTCTGTGGTTCTTATAAACATGGTAAAATCTTACGGTACATCGCGAAAAATGTGTTATATTTTATTATTAACGCAGCAATTCATTTAATAACAGTTTCGTATTAAAAAAAATTTGAAGCAATATAATCACCATATTAAGCTTTTGCAAATCCATCCCTTTAAAATTAACAAAACGCGCGTTACGTCAGTTCGTTCCAAAAAGAAACGTGACAATTGAAAAACGCATGCACCGAATAGAAATAAAGTTCTTATATAATATTGAAAATAAAGTTTTACCTTTTGAATAAGTACGTACTTATTCATGGTGGTGTCGTTATCACTCGAATCTTTATATGTGTTATAAATTAATGCTTTTTGTTGCTAAATGAATAGAGTACTTTATGACTATAGATGATTTTTCTTATATATATTATATCAATCATTATAAAAAAAATAATTAAAAAAATCGTGATAAATAAAGAAAGTACTACATATAAAAAGTGCCTATATATTGAAGGTTTGTAGCCCCTAGTTAAACGACCGAAATGTCATTGTCCGTTTTTCTCAAACGATTTGGTACGTACTATACCCAATATCATGCGTGTGTGTGTGTGTGTGTGTGTGTGTGTGTGTGTGTGTGTATTTTGTGTATGTTTATGTATATACATATGTATATGTGTATCATATTTTTTTTAATGTATTAGTTATGTTATTTTATTGCATGTATTGATATTATATTAGGTATATTTATATTGCACCACCTAACTAGTATTCACTGTCTTATTCCTTACGCCTTTGGTTGCCTGGAAGAGATCGCTATGTAGCGATAAGGCCGCCAAATTGTACATGTAATCTGCTCTTTGTTATGTTCTTTGTAAATTTGTTTATGATGTACATTAAAGTATATTCATTTATTCATTCATTAAATTTATTAGGGAAGCCTATGTTCAGCAGTGATTTTTGATGGCCTGTAACGGTGAAGGTAGAGATAATTATATTAATACGTGGTGGAATCACGCTGGTACAAGGCTGCCACTCGATAACCTTTCTTCCCCATCAGTGTTCGGTGGTTTGTGTTATATGGCCGGCCCGTTGCCATTTCAGCTTACGGATTACCGTTGGGCTATGTCGGTTACTCTGGTTCTACTGCGTACTGGTAGACGAAGTTAGGGTGGCCCCTAACTAAATGGAATGAAGACCGAGTAAGATATGCAGGAATTCGATGGATGCACGGGATTCAGGACCATGTTTTATAATTGGGGCCTTGGAGGAGGTCTATGTTCAGCAGGAGACTAGTGAAGGATTGTAATGGATTGATGCATTAGTGGAACCACGCTGCAGCTAGAACAGGTCAGATCGATAGAGAAAGTACCACGCCCGCACAGATAACCAGCGTAATATATAAACATAATGCTGATGTGTTTCTTATAATGAGTGTTTGTACTGACTGTGAAATACCATACCAATTGATGACGTAAATTCTCCGTCAGTTCTTCGTATTCATCAGAAAAGGGTTCCAACCAAATGAGGTGATTTGTTATACCGACTTTACCTATAAACGAAAAGTACAATATTAACAAAAAATAAACTTTTTAAAAATTTTGAGGGCTCCGTGACGCAGTGACAATGAGAAATGATTTGCAACGCTGAGAGACGCAAGTTCGAATCTCGCACGGAACAAATATTTGCATGATCTACAAATAATTGTTCCAGGTCTGGATTTTTTTCCTTGTGCAATTTATGTTTGTAAACGGCCTCTGCGACAAAAGAGAAAATGCTAGTATGTGGGTAACGTTTTTTTAGAAAAAAAAGAAAAGAACAAAAAAGTGAAAACCGGCATCAAAAACTAAGATGATTAAAATAATTTCTAAATTCGTGTGAAAGCTACATTTAAGCACAAGTTCAAGTTGTCAGCTAGAATATCGTCTAAATAGTTACAGTAAAAACCTCATCCCTTTATTTCCACCCTTAGAGATGGATATATACATATACTTAGGTCATAAGTTCTGTCTTTTTACTTTTTATAAAATTACTGATTCACTTTTTCATAATTATATAGAAATTATATATGAAATGAAAAGTAATTTAATTTAGAATACAATTTTCTTTACATTATTCAAAAGGCCCTCCCCTATTTTGAATACATGCCCTTAATCGACGCGGCCAATCATCAATCACAGCACGCACCACACTCATATCTATTTCTGCCGCTGCTTTAGCCAAAGATGCTTGAAGATATTCCAAATTCTGATGAAGTTTAGCGCAGACTTTTTCCTCCAAATGTCGCTATATTTTATAATACAGTGAGCTTATATCTGGACTGGAAGAGGGCCAGTCTTCATGTCCGATAAAGTCAATTCCATGGGTGGTCAACCAGTTTTGCGTGCTTCGTGCCCTACGAGCTGGTGCAGAGTCTTTTTGGAATATCCAATGTTTCTTTTTGAAAATTTTTTGAGGAAGAGGTTCAACTATGTTTGGTAGGACGGTATTTTGGTACAACTCGGCATTGGTTTTTACACCTTTTTCACGGAAAAACACGTCAGTTAAGCCTGAATATGGGACTCCAAGTCAAACCATGAGTGACGATGGATAATGTGCTCGTCGAACCCTCGTAATGCATGTGCTGGCTTCTTCACTGCTATGGGCACACACCTTATCATTTTGTTTATTACAACTTTCTTCGATGCTAAAAATGTTTTCATCCGAAATCAAAATTTTGCGGAATTTTTTTCACGCGTACCGCCGTAACAAAGCACGGGATCTATCCAGCCGATTTTTTTTCCAACGCTTCTTCAAAAAATTTCCCGTATTCTTACAATAAACTCGTAGTTCTAGGTCTTCATTGATCACTCTTTCGACCATGGTTCTGCTTAGGCCCATCCGGAGAGCTAAGATTTTTTGTTTGCGAACATAATTTCGTTGGATTGTATGCCTTCAGTGGTTTGATGATCGCGGGTGTCCTAACTGTATGAGGTCGGCCGGTTCTCTTACGATCTTCGAAGCTTGAATCTTCAGTGAATCGTTTGATAGTGCGATAAAGAAATCGTAAGGTTAGTTTCAATTTTTGTAGAATATTGAAAATCTCTTTTGGCGCGTAACCACAGCGGTGCAATGCCGTAACCGTTACTCTATTTTCTTTCTTCGACCACTTCATATTTGAAAATGAATGAAAATTAATGTCTTTTTTATTTTCAGTAAGTGCAAATGTTATATTTTCATCATATAAGTTCATCTAGCCGATATTCAAAAATTTTAAATAGTAAGGTTTTGACAGAACTTACGACCCGACAAACATACATCCATGAATAAAATGGTGAATTAGTTATGGAGAGACTGATCAAAAAAATAAGAACAGTGTTTCGGCCCCGTGCCCCGGAAAGCACGTAAAGCCGTTCGTACCGCACTTGATCTCTCTCTCTCTCTCTCTGATCGTATCGGATTGCCGTCTTATCGGATTATGTGAGTAGGGGAATAGAGTGTTCTCCTGTGCTAGTGCTCACATCTATTCGCTATACCTCTGTCCTGCGCAGATATATATATATATATATATATATATATATATATATATATATATATATATCGCCAAACATATATACATACGAGTATCCATGAATAAAAGTGGTGAATTAGTTATGGAGAGACTGATCAAAAAAATAAGAACAGTGTTTCGGCCCCGTGCCCCGGAAAGCACGTAAAGCCGTTCGTACCGCACTTGATCTCTCTCTCTCTCTCTGATCGTATCGGATTGCCGTCTTATCGGATTATGTGAGTAGGAGATTATAGTGTTCTCCTGTGCTAGTGCTCACATCTGTTCGCTATAACTCTGTCCTGCGCATATAACTAATCTCTGTTAAGACTGGCTCCCGTGACCTACATTCGGTATGTAGGAAAGACATCAGGCCATCGCACTGATAATGAGACCGTCATAACTCAGGAAATAGACCCCTCTGTTTGATCTCTGCCGGTATACATCAATGTCTGCCCGCAATGGTATCACCATTGCGATTGTGATATTCCTCAGTCCACTCAAAACGGTAAAACAATAACAAGTGATAAAGAGTAAAAGCCAGAAAGAAAAAAATAACTAGAATGAATAAAATATTTTCACATTCTTACTCAATACTTTAATTTTTCTATGCACATAACACATATAAGGTATCACCGACGCCCCTAACCATCTGCGACACCAGGGAAATAGTAGCTAGTACCACTTTTTTAGCTCAATTTAGTTCTTTGAAGTGGACTTTTACTTCTTTTTTATTAATAATAATAATTAATAGTATAATTATTAATATTTATTTTTTACCATAACGATTAACGAAAGGAATACAGTAAAAGAACATGAAACTAACCATTGTACATGGGTTTAAATTCTTCGTCGTAGATTCTCCAAGCTTTAGCGTGGGCCAGCAAAATAAACTTGGCGCAAAGGTAATTAGCGAATCCTGGGTCTTTGATGGGAGGTGCCATTATACCCGAGTTATACACAAAGTCACAAACAATAGCTGGCTCATTAATAGTAATCCAAGCCTTTACTCGATCGGCATACAAAGTATAGGCTACTCTCGCGTAGTCCGCGAACCACTCCACTATAAGGGGATTTGTCCAGCCACCTGAAATGAAGAATTTAAGCTCATAATTTTTCTACACTTGTTTCAAACTAACGATTTGCCTGGATCTATTAAGGCGATATTTAGATATAAGATAACCATCAAAGACAATCAATTTTTCTATTTCTCAAAAAAATCTCCAAGCGTTTCGGATAAAATACACATACACTCCTAGCATTGCTCTTTATCTGTACGTCAATTGTTACTACAATCGGTTCAGTCGTTCTAATGATTAGCACGGACAGAGACAAATAAAAATTGGGCAGCGTCTTCCTGATAACAGCTGAATTAGTTAGAGCCGATATACGTCCCACTGCTGGGCACAGGCCTCCTCTCATTTTTTAAAGAGGATTTTAGGATAAGGAAATACCCGTCGTATTGTCCCAATGTGTGTTAGCAAACTTTACATGTCTTTGAATTGTTTTTTTTTCTTATTTTTCAGACATGATTATTACCTCACGATGTTTTCCTTGAACTCCTAGCACGTGGTAAATCAGCACAGTAACAATAGATAACAGCTGAATAATATAATATAATATTTTTATTTTATTTTTAAACACATGTTTCTATGTAAAATATGATTACACAAACAAATATGATTACATTAAAGAAAGTAATAAAATGTCTTATAAAAATAACATGCAGTACTAAAAATTAAAACTATGTGTAGCTTAATAATGTAGAATCTACAAAAGAAAAATTGAAAACTTAAATTTATAATATTAGCTACTTGCCTGAACTAGGTTGAGTACCTGTGTTGCAGACCATCATTTACGCTATGGGTTTTATAATATAAGACACAAGATAATTTAAATAATTAAATAATATTATATAATAAAAAAATAACTAAATAACAATTATTTCTAACTTACAATTAATACAAAACTATTTTAGAATTACTAACAACTTCTCTGTGTCTTGGTAATTTAGGTATATCTTTAGTGACTTGTTAAGCTTGTTATATAGAAATAGTCCTAAAATATGTAAAATCTGTTTACAAATGCGCTTTTGGTTTGAGGGTTTACACAAACTAAGTCCATTCTTCTCCTGTCTATGGATTTTAAATTAAATGGAAGTTCGGTATGCTGTTTTAATATAATGTTCGGAATGAACAACTGACGGACAGTTAGTACACTACATTCCAAGTAAAGTTGATGTGTAGGAAACATGAAAGGACGGAAAGTGTCTACCGTGTAACCTTATAACTTTGCCCTTGGGGGACATCTTTGCCCAAACATGAAAATTAACTAAAACTACCGATAGACATTTTTTATTTTAACAAATGTCAACTTTGTATAGTGTCTAGGGAAAAGTAGAGTATATGTTTGACAGCACTGACTACTACAATATTCAGGCATCTGTCAGCAACCGTCAAAGGGACAGTGTCGAAGGTGGTGCAAAAACATTGTTGCAGTTTTGCATCCCGCATTGCCAAGAAACCCTGCGCAGGTAAGATTCATTATTATTTACGTGCAGGGCATTAATTGTTGCTGCTTTTAATCAAGGTCTCTTTCTTACACTTGTCTTAGTTAGCGAGAAAATTGTGAGGATAATGTTGTAAGCAATTTTATAAACTGAGGTCGACAACACTGCCCAGCTCAAAAATGGTATTACTGTTGACACTATTGAAAAAAAGGAAAGTAGGTATAATAAATAAAAATTATATATATATATATATATATATATATATATATATATATATATATATATATATATATATAGAGATGATGGCGAGAGGCGAGAGGAAAGATGGCGCTGTTGCCACGGTTAACATCGACTCCGTAGTAATAAATTAATTAATAATGTGTTAATCCCATATAAGTGCATGAAATCATTTGAGATAAGAATATCGGTGTCAGACTAAGTGCAGTCAGTGTTATTTATAAAAAATATTAGGGGCCAAAAAAAGTTATATTCGATTAATTGAGATGAACTTAATTATGTGGTGAATTATCTATTCACGGTGTCATGCTGTAAACAGAAACTGAGTTTTTTTTATGTCATTACGTATACAGGACTGAAATGCATGTTCATCAGGCTTGGTGAGTGAAAATTAGACAATAATTTCAGTAAATATTATTAATCGTGGACGTTACTTTTTAAACTTGACAATCTACGATAAAAACAAGATCAGCTGACGTTCAAGTATCAACAACTCGTTAATAGATGTCATTACTCTCCATACTTGAGGTCATGACATATAACTCCATCTACATATCTTATTGAGAACCACAAGTTGTAATCGATTCTAAATATCTAAATAGCAACATTGTAATAGTTCGACTATTCACCACTACGAAGAAAAATTCTAAAACATTTGATTTATTGTATATAGTTCAGTTACGCCATCTACAAAAATATTAAGAAATTAACTAGAAAAATTAAGTATAACAGAATGGCTTCTAAAGCGAGTACAAAATCCGCTAACACCAGCCATAAGATGTCAGCACTAGTATGTTGTTATAAATGCAAAAAGTATGTTGATATGAAAAACACACTACTATGTTCAGAATGCGAAAAAAAGATATGAATTTGACTGTGCCGGCTATTCCGAGAAACTTTACCGTTTAAAAAGTCAAGAAGCGAAAACGAAATGGAAGTGTAAACTTTGTATTAAAAATTACAGTAAAAAATATTTGACATCATATATTAGCGAATCTTCTAACGTTACTATGCGAAAAAAAGAAAACACTCTAAAATAATTGTCATCTGTACAAAATATTACCGAGGTTTCACAATCTACACCTCAAAATACGTTTTTCTCTCAGACAATGGACTCCCACGTACTCACCGAGAACGAGTTATCCGATGAATCCTATTCCACGCCAAGAAAATTATCAAGGAGTGTAGACGGTACTATACTAGAGACAGTAACAATCCAAGAGTTAAAAGAATCAATAGCTCAACTTACTCTTGAACTCAGTAGTACACAAAATGAACTAGAAAACACAATACTAGAAAATAATACTCTCAACAGACAAATTAATAAGTTGACTTCAGAAATAAAAATATTACAGTCATTGTGCCATACACCAATTGAAGTTAATAAGGTTTGCAATAGTGCGAAAAAGAAACAGAGAACTTCCACTCCATGTCGTCACGTAAATTCTACGCCTTTAGCACCAAAGGAAATATCGAACGACCGTAATAATATTTCTATATCTTCTCTACAACAAAAAATTACTGACTTACAGCAGCAATTGGAAAACGCTAACAAGGATATTTGTAAACTTACTAACCAAATTGATATCCTGACACAAAAACTACAAATTCAAAGACCATTTAATTCTTCTAATTTTAAGAATACATTTATAAATTTGGACAAAAAACAAATATGTCAACCTAAAAATAGAATATTTATTTGGGGCACTCAGCGGTGCGTAGGTCTGGCATCTTCTATTATACATTCAAGAGAGTCGACAAAATATGAAAAATACAAAGTTTTTGCGGAAACCAAACCTAACGCACTTAGCACCGAAGTAACTAAGACATGCCTAAATATGACGCTATCGACAAATGATAAATTGGTTTTATGTATGGGTGAAAACGACAAAAATGTAAAAGTTATATTATTAAACTTACGAAAATTATTAGAAAAATTTAACAAAAACAATATCTTTGTATTAAATGTATCAAGAAATAATTATGTTAATGTTAATGGATTAAATAAAAGTATCAAAAATATATGTAATGAGTATAAAAATTGTCATTTTGTGAATTATAACTACTGTACAAAAATTGACATTTGTAAAAAAATATATTACCTTATTGACTGCAGTGACTATGCAAATAAGTACTTAAATATTTGTGAACTTAAGAAAATAATAGGGGGTAATAGACCAAGCAAAGACGAATCAGACGTTAAAACCAACCACTACAAAAAAGGCACAATCCCATTTTATTTTAAGCGCAGTAATATTTTAGTAACACATAGCGTTACAAAATCTACTTCGCCTGCATCAAAGATACTGCTACCGAAAAAAGGGACTATACCCTTTTACTTTCCTACAGTAAAAAAAAGATATTTTTTTTTCGAAACAAAGGCATTACTGAATTTTAAAATCTTTCATCAAAATATCGCAAGTATTTTGTCAAAAAAAGACATTTTTGAGCTAACGCTAAAAGATTTGCAAGAGGAACATAATGATCCTGACGTTATATGTCTCTCCGAAACATTTCTAAGGAAAGGTGACGATAATTATGTTAAACTTAGTGACTATGAAATAGTAACTTATTATAGTAGGGATAAACAAAGAGGCGGAACTTGCATTTTAGTTCGAAAGGGCTTACTATGCAAAGTGTTGTCCTTTGTAAAAGTTCAGGCAGTGCAAAACATATTTGAAGTATGCGGCATCGAAATTACAGCAAATAAATTAATAATAATATGTCTTTATAGAACACCGCAATCAGATCCTAGCCTTTTTTTAAAAAAATTGGACAACTTACTTTATACTTTAGTAACAAAATATAACACTAAGAAGCGCATAGTTTTAGCAGGAGACATAAACATAAATACATTAAAAAAAGGTAAATTTTCTTGTGAGTTACAAGAACTTTGCCACAATTACAACTTAAAAATTCATGTCAACGCTCCTACGCGAAAGTTATCGTGTATAGACCACATACTGAGTAATATTCCAAACGCGACAGCAACTATATTACCACTTCATCTCTCGGACCATAACACAGCACAAATGTTAACCTTTCCAGTAAAAAATAAGCTAACATCGGCATCATCTTATAACATCTTTAAGAGAGATTATAAATTAGAACATATTCAAAAATTCAAAGAATGTCTACAAAACTTATCGTGGTATGAAATTTATGTGGAAACTGACCTGAATAAACTTTAACGCTTTTCACGAATTGATATGTCTTTTTTATTATTTATGCTTTCCAAAAATAAAATTAAAAATAAACAGTAGTTGCACAAAAAAAAACTGGATAAGTCAAGGGTTAAAAAAAAGTTCTCGAACTAAACGGGTCTTGCGATACACATACTATAAACAAAAAAAATACACGAAATAAAATTAACTACTTAAACTATTCAAACATTTTAAAGAAGTGTGTTTATAAATCCAAACAAATTGATAATATTAAATATATGAATAATAGTAACAACAAATGCAAGGCAGCATGGAGAATTATCAAAGATGAAATTCATAACCCGAAAGTTAGGGATAATATAGATGCTATTAAGATTGGAAAGAACATAATGTCTAATCCTATAGAAATAGCTACTGCTTTCAATGATTATTTTATAGACATGGCCACTAACCATACCTCAACACAAAATTTAAATAAAAAATATGGTTTAAGTAGAAATTCAAGAGTGAATTCGATGTATTTAAGACCAATGACAGAAAATGAAGTTAAAATAGAACTACTATCATTAAAAAATACCAATTCAGAGGGTTATGACGAAATTAACACAAAAATTTTAAAATCATGTGCTGATAATATAACTAAAATTTTGACACATCTAATAAATTTATCATTCTCATCAGCGAAATTACCAGAAGCACTGAAATTGTCAATTATAAAACCTTTATTTAAAAAAAGGGCGAAAGGATGATGTTCAAAATTATCGTCCAATCACGTTAATACCTATTCTGGCTAAAATCTTTGAAAAATGTATGTATAAAAGAATAGTTGATTACTGTAATAAATACCAGATAATTAAAAGTGAACAATACGGGTTTCAAAAACACAGATCGACCTCACTTGCCATGTTTTCGTTAATAAGAATAATACTTAGTAACATAAACAACAGACAGTTAACAACAGGATTATTCTTTGACCTCTCAAAGGCCTTTGATTGCGTTTCACATGACATATTATTGCAAAAATTAGAGACAATTGGGATCAGAGGACCAATACTTCAGTGGTTATCGTCATATTTAAAAGACAGACAACAATGTGTTATCATTGATAAAATAGATAAAAACAGTAACTTAACATCTCATTCATCTGGATATAAATATAATAAATTTGGCGTTCCGCAAGGAAGTATATTAGGACCGATTCTTTTCCTATTATATATTAATGATATTGTTGACATTACGAATCATAAATGTGTTTTATACGCTGATGACATTTCAATTATTGTGACTAGTAATAAAAATAATAATACAATTAGGAATCATGAAGATGACATTAATAATACAATTGACAAATTAATAGAATGGCTTGACGTAAATAATTTGAAAATTAATTTAGAAAAATCTCATTACATACAATTTAATAAATCTATCAATTCAAATCATAATATTAAACTTAATATACCAAAACTAAAAAAAACTTACATGTACAAAATTTCTGGGAGTAACGTTAGATGAAGATATAAACTGGAAAGAACAAATAGATAACGTATGCCGTAGAATAAATAAATTTGTATATGCCCTTAAAATCGTTAAAAACATCACAAATATTAAGACGGCAATTGCAACGTACCATGCATACGTAGAGTCTATTCTTCGCTATGGAATCATAATATGGGGTAATAGCACTGACCGAAATAGGGCATTCGTTGCCCAAAAAAAATGTATACGTGCAATGTGCGGGATGTCGCCTGATGTTTCCTGTAAACCAGTATTTAAGAGATTTGGTATATTACCCCTCCCGTCACTATACATTTATGAAGTCAGTATGTTTGTCTTTAAAAATAAGTCATTGTTTATTAAAGCGCGTGATATATATCCCCGAAACCGACGAGACCCAGAAAAACTAGTTCTAGATGTTATTCCTAGAATCGTTAAATACAATAAAAGTTGCCTAAATATGTGTATAAAAATATTTAATAAAATACCTAATGAATTTAAATTATTAAGTGAAAGATTATTTAAGAAACATTTGATTAATTGGTTAAAAACCGAATGTTATTATGACGTAAAAGATTTTTTAGACTGTAATTAATTAATATTGTTGATTCTGTATTTGCATGCTATTAACCATTGTTAGCGAAACACGATTGCACTAGACAAATTGTAAGATCTTTTTATACCGTGATTCTTGCAAATAAAAATTTATGATTTATGATTTATTTATATATGTAAATATATAGGTATACTTAATAAAATAAATAAATGTACATAGGTGTATAAAAAAACTGTATAACAATAACTACTGTTCTGATAACTATATAGGTAACTAGATACCGTTTTATATATTATTTTAAATATAATGAATAGGTATATGTTTGTGGGGAATTTTTGTCAGAAACCGCTAGTTTCCCAAAAGAGAGAGCTTAAATGTTTTTAGTTTCAAGCTAAAGATTTTTAAATAAGATTCATGCGGCAATTCGTTTGCAAAAAAAATTAAGCCTAAAAGAGAATTGTCTTCTCAACGACAGACATTAATGATCGCAGACAAAAATGGCCGACGAAATGGATTAGTACGCACAGTAGGTGAACCACGCACATCAGTGGTAATAAAATCAGTATAAGCTGGCCTCGTATTATATTAAATAAGTATCATCGCTGTCTACTTTTCCTTATCTCAACTATCAGGGTTAATTTTTGAGACAATTTTCTACAACTTTCCTATCTAAACATTGATTTTCTTGATTTTTTTGTTGTTCAGTTAGTTTTGTTTTTAATTTTTAAAATAAAATATACATTATTGCCTTAAAATCAGTTTATTATTTTCCTTTCGTCTGATGCACAGCCCTAGCACCTCAAAAATCTTTGTATGAAAGTGTGACTAAATGTGGTGATTACATTGCCCACCGCCATTAAAACTTAAAATGGACTTCTATTTATTTGAAAATGTAATGGTATGCCATTTTGTCGGTTTGCTAACAATATATCTTAAAATCAGTCATAGAACTTATAGTTGCTGAGAAATTTAGGTTGAGCAAAGATGTAAGAAAGTGGAGATAACTTTGCCCGCGTCTGTTTTTGTTTTTTTCTCCGTATTTGTTATGAATTATGTCACCTGGTTTTGACAGTTTATTTGTTGCATAGAGTGTCATTTAAAGCTTCAGCAACCATCAAAATAAAATGGCTATTTTTTGAAAAAAGTAATAAAAACCGAAATATGTGGGCAAAGGTGTAAGGTTTCACCGTACCTTTCGAACTGCTCTCTGAGCACGTTCTAAAGGTACGCTTAAGCTTACCTTTAGAACCTTACCTTAAGCTTAAGCACCATCCCAGGAAGTAGGCATTAGTGAGTATGGATTGACACAAAGCTAAATAGACCTGTCTTATCAATTTAAAGTCAGCTATGTTACGGAGATATTTACAAAATATATATTAATTTACGAACTCTAGCACAAAGTAAATCGATGTGCCTAGATATTTTATATTGTCTGTTTTTGTTATTGCGGGGCATGCACATGCAGTGTCATCATACGAGTCACAGTTATGAGCGTAAATATTTAGGAATAAAAATAACAAACTACGCTTACCAACCCGCTTGCCCTATGCGACACCCCAATCTATGCTGATGGTCTATGTTCAGTTCAACAGTGGACTGTTGATAGGCTGTAATGGTAATGGTAATGGTATGGATAAAAGGTTCGAAATAGGCAAGAGTCTGTTTCTGCCGCCAAGAAGAAATGCACCCAATGTATTGCGTTCGGATTTTTTAAAGAGGTAGATTGACAAACATGCACGCATACTATCTAATTATAAATGGATGCCGTGGCCCATAGACATCTAAAACAGCTAAAGTAAGTTGATAAAATCAACCTGTATAATTATTAATTACCAGCTGTGAGGCAATACACCTCGATCCTTAGGGGTTACAACGCAATTTTATACGTGGTTGCCATGCTGCAGTGGAGAAAACTGGAGAACCATTCTACTTAGTCCTTAGAGGTGACACGTCTGCATTTTCATTATTAAGCGCAGAGGGAAGAGGTGTCTATAGACCGCAGCAATTTTTATCACATAGACGGTGTCCAATATACTATTTATGCAAACTGTTTCGTGCATTATACACACTGTTACATATATGCACACTGTTTGGTTTATCAAATGGTCGTAAGGACTACCGCTGATCACGTGGTTCAGCGTTCATATCCCGGGTCGGTCCAAAACCAATTGGGATTTTCTGTCACAAAATGTTGATGGAGTTTCTACCCCATTCCTCGGAAAACACATAAAGCCGTTGGTCTTGTCCCTGATCGATGACGGTCGTACAGCTTGCCGCCCTTGGATACTGATAGTCCCAGTTATATCGGACTATGAGCACGAGGGAATAGAGATTACACCTGTGCTTGCACACACACTCGTGCACATAACCGAGTCCTGTGAAGAAGGCTGTTCTCCGCTAAGACTGGCTACCGAGACACCATCAAATTCGGTCAGACAACATTAACAAAAACATACGAGAACTCACCTAAATCCTGTAACCGTTGCGGCAAGTCCCAATGGTACAGAGTAATTAATGGTTGTATTCCTTTCTCGAGGAGTCCGTCAATGAGGTTGTTTAGTAGTTTTTTCCGTCTTCGCTTATTCTGTCAGGCAGCCCTGTAGGTAGTAACCTTGCCCATGATATGGAGAATCTAAAATGACCGCAAAGTTGTGATGAGAATACCAGTCTATTCATTCATTCAGCGCATTAAAAATCGACTGCTGAACATAGAGCATCCACTACCCCGTTCCGACCCGTAGGTGTCGTGAGAGGCGACGGAGGGAAACAAACCAGGAAATGGCTAGCGTTGTCTTTCTGATTATTGCTAGCAAATAAAAAAGCAACCCAAGTCCATAGTGGGCAGCCGCCAAGCGTGGCAACTATGGTAAATATCCTCCCTCTTAAGGCCCCAGTACACAATGGCCTATGATGGGCCATGCTTTGCAATGCACAACCATAAGCCACGATCATATAAGTGTTCACACAATGACGCATGGCTCATTACTGCCAAGCGAAACACTTGTGATGGACGTGGAAGTAATTACGGCCGGTTAGTGGTAGGTGACGAACTAAACAATGGGCAATTGTGTAAACAGCACAAGCCACGCTACGCCACGATACCTTTGAAGTGTGCCCAAAAAACCGACAACTTCCCAATTGCGCGCCACGATGGACAATTGTCGACCACTACGTACTCGTACCATTACCCCCTGTACACAATGGCGATTGCCTGCAGTGGGCCAGCATGGGCCATTGTGTACTGAAGCCTTTAGGCGATCTATGAGTTTGTTCAGCAGTGGACTTTGAATGGCTTTATAATGGTGATGATGATGATAGTGGTTTCCGTAGATCTGAGGGTACTGGATTTGAACTCCTCTTTATTCTAAAGACACATCTCTTAGCGTAAAAACAAAACTGCCATCATCCGTCTTCGGGTTCTGGGTTTGGCATATTTTGAGTTTGATAAGAAGCTGGAAGCTACAGCTGTATTATGGTTGTAGCATGAATGGGTCCGTTCAACCAGCTTAAGAATACGCTCTCATAGAATAACAGCGTAAAATGGCAGCTTAATGCTGCTGTGTTTCGTTAGTGTAGAGAACCGGAGACCATTTTTGCTGGAAGCAAAGCATTCCATCTTAGTCTTCATTGTGACAATACATCTGCATTTTGATTCTGAATTGAGGATAAAGGAGTGTGGGCCACAGTATCCACTTACCATAAAGTGGACTGTGTGCTCGTTTGTTACCCATTTTCTATTAAAAAAATGCGAGTACAGGTGAAGCCGGCAGTTACAAAATAATTTGTAATATATCTTTTTTACTGTATATTTCATTTTAAGCACCTCGTGCTTTATTTTCGACAAAAAACCATCGTCACGAGAGCCACAAATCCACTGTGTTTAGGCCTCCACCAAGATCGTCATCAAAATCTATCCACAACCAATTTCAGCCACCTCCTTTCTACCTTACAAGAAAGTATGGGATGGGATCCCATACTAGATACTATATCTAGTATGGGATCGGAATCATTTTTCTAAATAGGCTTAATTATGTGGGGATGCGAATGATTAACACACCACATATATTAAATAATCGTTTATTACTACGTATTTTACGAAGTCGTGGATCTGAGCGCGGATGAGCGACCTCACGGCGCCTGATGGTGATCGACTGGCGAGTCGCGAGGCGGGGAAAATCGAGCCGGTCGCTCCCGCGAAGAAGTAGGCTCAATATGATTGCCGAACGGTCGACAGCTACGGCCGTGCCGCCACAATTATAATAAAAAATTAAATACTTTTAACTTCTTATATTATGTTTATGTTATGGTTATTAATGTACTGACTCAAGAGGCTTTTACAGTTTCATCGGAAGCTACATAAGCCTTAGCTATCTATGCTGAGATGTTCGATGTCATTCCACCGAATAAATACTAACCTATAAAAATGCAGCCCCAGGTCGGAAGCGATCTTAACGTCATCCCTCCAATTGTGGTAGGAGTCGCAGGCCACATCCCCGTTGTCACGATTTTTAATTGCATCGGGATTGCTGTGAACCAGTCTGTCCCATGTGTTTTCACCTTTGTCTGAAAAAGATAATATATTAAGTACTTAATTTTTTATATTATGATTTGATATTTTCTTCTTCTCTGTCATTCCTTGAGTATTCTACTAGCAGACATGGTCTTCCATAATTCTTGTTTTTTTCATAAGCACTTAAAATTTTTAAGGAGATTCCGTGTGGTGGCGTCGTACATTCCTCCACGTTGTCCCTCCCCCCCCCTTGACTCTCTAAAGAATTAGTAATGAAACAAACCCGTAAAAGCAGATATCTCGTATAGTTGACACTACTCCTCATCATCGGTTACCGGTATCCATTAGAGCTCATGAGATATTTTTAACACTATTCAATTCAAGTCAGTCCAATATTGAGTTAACTTTTTAATAAAGAGTTTTTTTAGAAATTACGCCAAGGACACACGGCATTAAATAATTAAATAATTTAAAACTCTGCAGTATTCTGATAGAATAACTACCAAGAAACCTAGAGCGGCTTGGTCCAGCGGATGAGGATCTTTTTACTGTAGAAGTTTTCAGCTAAGCCTTTGCATACGTTACTGCTACAAAGGGGAATATCAAAATTCAGTTATTTTATTAATATTTTTGCAAAATAAGAACACAGGTACTTTTTTCTTATTTCGAAGTGAAGAGACTCGATTTCTTTTAATAAATAGATAAAACGAAGGGTAAATAGCAACGAAAAAGAGAGTAAGATACATGATTTTTTTGGATTGTCAATAAATTTAATAAAATAAAGGTCTACAAATGGTAAAATTACAGGTCTATTTTTAATAAAATATGAAATTTGAATATTTATTACTCTATAGACCTTTGTTTTGTTTGGAATTTGGTGGGCAAATTAGAGTATACACAAGCGAGCTAGCTAGCTAGCAAATAAGTTTTTTTATGTTTTTGAGTACATTTCACAAGGGTAACTTAAAATTCAAATAAATACCGACGAGAGAAACAATCGTCACCATTGCAATATTCGAGACTATTCATACCCGTGCTTACGGTTCGTACTCACGAACGGGCGCTCGATAGCTTATACTCTAAAGTGAGCACACTTACACTAAATAATTTCTAAAATATTAAATATACCTAGATATTTAATACGGAGAAATTATTTAGTGTGTGTATGTCGTGAGTTCATATTAAATTAATAAGTGACTGGATGTGGAAACAGTATAGACTTGAATACCATTTGAATTTTATGTAACTGTTTATAACTCCACTTTTCTTAAAAGATAATATACTTTGGTTATACGTTTTACCCGCGACCCGCACAAGCTTCTTCTGGATGAAACTATTAATTTGATGTATTTCATTTTTAGGGTTCTGTACCCGAAAGGTATCCATCGAGATTTTATTACTAAGCCCCTGAACTAAGTTGATATACGTTTTAACAGCGGTAAAGCCACGCGGCAGCATTTGCTATTGCGCATATGGGCCGGCTCGAACCGGTGTTGCAACATGACCTCACAGAAGACCAACCTGAAGTAGAAGCTCTGCTTCTGCATTTCGTCTGGTGAGTGCAGGTGGTCTGAGGCCCATCTTCCCCCCCCCCCTCCCTTAACATTTTTAAATAGAACATTACTCCAGGAGGATACCAGCACCCCCCTGGTGATCTGGAGAATCTCGCTGAGTATTCACGTCCAAGCTACCCTACTCTTCCTGAGCGTGGTTGCGAAGGCTGCCCCACGTATTTTGGGGGGCAATATTCGGCTCGAAACTAAACCTGCTCGGATCAAACGGAATACAAATAAGACAAATGTGCCCCCTGCCACGCTATTCGTGAATTTCTACAACGTCAGGAGTCATTCAAACCTTAACGCCATTCACTACCATCTGGAAATGACGAAGCCGGCCTTGCTCTTTGTGACCTAGACACAAGTGTCCTCTCCGGCTGATCATATCTTATCTGCCTGGTGTACAAATTAGTGTACTGTGTACTGTAACTGTAAGTGTACTCTTTGTGTGTGGGTTTGTTTCTCACCGGATGATCCCAGGGCGCGCGCCTCTTTTTAACTTTGTGCCCCTCGGCACGTGCTTAGTTTGTCTTAAGTATAATCTGCCACTGTCCGGAGGTAAGGTCTCATCATCATCATCATCATCATCATCATCACAGCCCTTCACAAGTCCACTGCTGAATATAGGCCTCCCCCAAGTAATGCCACAAAGCACGGTCCTGAGCCACCTGCATCCATCGACTTCCTGCATATCTTACCAGGTCGTCACTCCATCTAGTGGGGGGTCGCCCTACACTACGCCTACCGGTACGAGGCTGCCACTCGAGAATCTTTCTTCCCCATCGGTTATCGGTTCTTCGAGCTATATGGCCGGCCCATTGCCACTTCAGCTTACTAATCCGTTGGGCTATGTCGGTCACTCTGGTTTTACTGCGGATATCCTCATTTCTGAGTCTATCACGCAGAGAAAATCCTAGCATAGCCCTCTCCATAGCTCGCTGAGCGACCTTGAGCGTCCTCATACGGCCAGCAGTGAAGGACCACGTCTCTGATCCGTAAGTCATCACTGGCAACACGCACTGGTTGTACACTTTAGTTTTCAGAGATTGAGGTATACCTGACGAGAAGATGTGTCGTAATTTCCCGAACGCTGCCCAGCCGAGTTGAATCCGTCGATTGATCTCTCGGTCGAAGTTGGACTTACCTAGTCGGACTATTTGTCCCAGGTAAACGTACTCGTCAACAACTTCGAGCATAGTGCTCCCACAACTCCGGCATAGGTGTGACATGGACATTAAACATGATCTTTGTTTTGTCCATTTTCATCTTAAGACCTATCCGTTGGTAGGCACTATTGAGGTCATTGAGCATAGTGCTTAAGTCCTCCAGCGATTCTGCCATAGGGACTATATCGTCGGCAAATCGAAGGTGAGTGATGTACTCGCCATTGATGTTAATACCGTATCCTTTCCAGTCCAGTAGCTTGAAAACGTCTTCCAAAGCAGTGGTGAAGAGTTTCGGGGATATAACGTCACCCTGTCTTACACCTCTCTGCAGTTGGATAGGTTTCGAGCTCTGGTTCTGTACTCGGATAGTCATCGTAGCCCTACTGTACAAACACTTCAGCACTTCGATATACCGACAGTCAACTTGGCACCGCTGAAGGGACTGTAGCACCGCCCAAATTTCGACGGAATAAAAGGCTTTCTCATAGTCCACATACGCCAGGCAAAGTGGCAGATTGTACTCTTCGGTCTTCTGTAAAATCTGCCGCAGGGTATGTATGTGGTCTATGGTACTGAAGCCTTTTCGGAAACCGGCTTGTTCGGGAGGCTGGAAGTCGTCGAGTCTGCGTGCGAGACGATTCGTAATGACTCTCGAAAACAGCACGTAGACGCGGTTCAGAAGGGAAATCGGTCTGTAGTTCTTCAAGAGAGCGTTGTCGCCTTTCTTAAAGAACAAGACCACCGCACTTCTGCTCCACGCCTCTGGAGTACTGCCACCATGGAGGACGGAATTGAAGAGCTTCTGAAGGACTTCAAGTACCGGTGTTCCACCCGCTTTCAGAAGCTCCGCTGTAATTCCATCCTCGCCTGGGGCCCTGCCGTTTTTAAGGTGCTGGAGAGCCATTCTAATCTCGCTTAGACTGACGTCCGGGATATCATCGGAATAGTATCGGATAAGACTTGCTCTTGGATCGTTACTCACACTTGCGTGTGGCTCCAACGATGATGTGTACACCTGCCCATAGAACCTCTCAATCTCATCAAAATCTCAGGTGTCCCGGAAACGATGCTGCCACACTCGGTCTTCAACCTTGACAGTTGGCTCTTACGGGCAGACAGATCTCTGGCAAAGACTTTGGAGCCCTGGTTCCGCTCGATCGCTTCTTTAATACGAGCAGTATTAAAGTTGCGTAAGTCTCGCCGCATGCATTTGGAGATCTGTCTGTTCAGTTGCCTGTATGCTGCCAAATCTGTTGACGGTTGCAGCCTCATCTCCCGTCTAACAGCCAAGAGATTAAGAGTGTGATCGGAGATTTTTTGTGTTCTTCTGCGGCGGGTCTTGCAGAACTTAGCTCCGACCGCATGGACAGTTTCCACGAGCTTGTCATTCATATCGTCCACTGCATTGCAATTTTGTAGGCACTGAAAGCGGTTGTGTAACTCGAGCTGAAAGTTTTCGGGATTTTGGATTAGAGCACGAGGGGGACGGAGCGTTGACTTCATTAGACGAGACCTCTCCAACTTAACGTTTAGGTTCAGTGTGCCTCTAACCATTCGGTGATCGCTGCCAGTTTTCACCCTTGCGATCACTGAGCATCACTGAACAGTTGGCGTCTGGTCGTCATAATGGAGTCAATCTCATTTTTTGTCGAACCGTCGGGGCTCGACCAGGTCCACTTCCTGTGGGGCCGCTTCTGGAAGAAAGAGTTTGTCATAAATAGTCCCTCTTTCTCCATAAAGTCGGCCAGCTGCTGGCCCCTTCGGTTCCGTTGCCCTACTCCAAATTTCCCTAACTTCAGCTCACCGTTTTCTCTTGTGCCTAGTTTTGCGTTGAAGTCTCCCATCAACACCGTGTAGTGGGTTTTGGAGGAATGCATGGCTTTGGAAATATCCTCATACATTTCCTCCACCTCCTCATCGGAAGGGGCACCTGTATGACCTTCAGCGAATACCGTTTGGTGATTCTGAGTATCAGGTACGCGACCCTCGTCGACACACTCCCAATCTTTACAACGTTGTTGACAAGAGACTTGTGGACGATAAATCCGACACCTCCTTGGGACAGATGGTCGCCCTCCCGGTGATAGAACAAGTTGCCGGATTCGAGAATCACCGTGTCCTCCCCCTCTCTTCGGACCTCGGATAATCCTATAATACTCCAGCGCAACTTGTCTATCTCTTCTTTCAGCTCCAGGATCTTCTCGTCAGTCCTCAGTGTGCGTGCGTTAAATGTTGCCAGGTCGAGTCGTCGTAGGTGGCAACCGAACCTCCACAGGAGATTCTTAGCACCCCCTGCCCCGCCGTTACCATGGTCGCCACCATAGCCAGGAATAGCGGGGCCGCCGGGGACTGGGGGCCGTCTATTTGTGTAATTGTTCATGGGGGGTATATTGCCATAGTTGCCACGCTTGGCGAGCGGGTTGGCAACCGCAGTTTTTTTGTCGTACAGTTGCTGTTATCAGGAAGATGCTGCTGCCCATCTCCTGCCTGTTTCCCTCTGTCGCCTTTTACGACACCCACGGGAAGATATGGGGTAGTAGATATTCTTAACCGCCACTACACGGCAAAAGGTAAAAGATCTCATTATAACTAACAAAACGAGCCCAAACTCACACCTAGTTCT